CTTTTTATTTATGAAGAGCATTATATGTAGCTTCGGTACATACAAAGTTAACGTACTTTTTTGTTCTTATATCCGTATATACACATACATAATTGAAGTGCACTAACATTACACTCCTTCTCTTCCAGGTCGACATGGAGGTCGCCACCGAACACCCGTTTTTCGTTTACGGCCAAGGCTGGGCATCCAGCAATCCCGAATTGACATACAAAGCTTTCGGTTTGAAGTGTCAACGCTTACAAGTCGGCGACATTTGTATTTCACTAACCAAACGCGAACCACCGAATATAAATATAAACAACAACAACAATATTATAAGTAGTAATAACAATAATAATAATAAGCATATGTATTCACACGACGCAACTGCAACAACAACAACAACACGCATGACAACAAATGAAAGCCATTGCCTGGAACGTGATCTCCAACCACTCGCATTGAGCGACAACGTGTATGCAGCGCATTTAAAAAGCGCCGGCCTATGCCCACCACCGCCCACTGCACCATACCCAACAATACGTGGCGCTCACGGGGGCACAGTACACTTTATGCCGCCACACCTGCTCGCCAATGCACCCGCCACACATCCAGCACCCTATGCACCCAACGAAACATACCCACACTTCCCGTTCCCCACGGCACCGGCGCAAGCAGCGGCCACAACTTTGCATAGCTCGCGTGCGCAACACGGCGATTTAACGTGCGCGGCGCAACCACCCACGAATTGCAGTACAAGGTCAGCGGACGATTGCGCCCAATCAGCAGCAGCAGCAGCAGCGGCGGCGGCTTCGGCAGCGTCAGCGTCTGCGCGCAAACGTCGCTGGTCGGCGCCGGAGAGTTTTTCCAACAGCGAAGATGAGGACGACGAAGCCGCGCGTTCGGGTGAATATCAACCACAGCCATTGCGGCAGAAATCGGCGCCGACAGCGGCGGTTAGCAGCAATTACAAGCCTTATATGCCAACGAATATGAATATGTCAGCGTCGGCGGCGGCGGCGGCCGGTCAATTAAACTGTGATTTTTCAACAAACTACAAATAGCAAAAGATCTCAATGTTGGCGTGTGAACTTCAAGTCAAGGCCTGACCTCGTGCGTCGTGCGTTGTATTTGGGAATCATCTCAATTTATATGCGCAAAATATTCAACAATACTGTATAATATATTATATATGCATATGTATGTATTAATGTGCTTTAAGTCGTGGATGTGTTAGCGCTAGGTGTGAGAAATGGCTTCGAAAAACATTTTTATATCAGTTTTAAATTGTTTCAAGTGGATTTTAGATTTTTATTGAATTTTATGTGGAAAAATATTCAAATCAGGTCATAAATGCGTATTTTAAAGCATCTTCGTACAATTTACCGTTTCAGCATCGGCCTTCAGTGTTTCAGTGTAGAAAAGAATCCATGACTTTACAACCGTTAATATTCGTATTTAGTAATATGCTTAGAGAAATTCATATTTATGCGAGTACGAAATTATTTGAGTATTGAAAATTTCGAGCTGTCAGCCATTTTGTCGCGTGTTTCACTAATTTTAAGCAAATATCTGTAAAAATAAATAGTTTATAGATGTATGTGTATGTACATAGTTTAAAACACACCAATATGCACATGTATAAATGTATATACATACATGAGTTATATAAGTATATAAAGAATATTCCAGGCGATATATACGATATGTATGTATGTAATACCATGTCAGACTGTACATTTGAAATTATAGCCATATATAAATGTAATATAATGTAGTTATTTGTAGTCATTTATATTTATATGCATACATACAAGCATACAAATAAGTTATTGCACACGAGCTTGTGCATGTTATGTAATTATTATTTGATTGTAATAAATTAAAAGCAAAAAAAAAAAAAAAACAATTTATGTAGTCCTGCAACAGTCACTGCAATAAAGACTAAGTTTTCAAATATATAAATATTGATGCGTACTTATTTTTAAAAAACAAGAAAAAATATTAATTACACTTCACAGTTGCATTTCTTTTAGCATAAAAGAGTATATAAAGGCATTTATTTTTGTTTTGGGCGATCAGTTTGTATGGCAGCTGTATCTTCTAGCGGTCTGATCTAAATATATACGGATATTATGGATTTACCCCTAACAATAAGTTATACCAAATTTCGTAAAGATATCTTATCAAATGAAGTAAGTTTTCCATACTCGAAGTCCATTTTTACCGATCAGTTTGTATAGTAGCTATATCTTAAAATGGTCTGATCCGAACAATATCTTCAAATATTATAACGCTGCCGTGGATAGTAATCTACGCAAAATTTCGTAAAGACATCTTATCAAATAAATATTTTGACCAATCAGTTCGTATGGCAGCTATATCTTAACGTAGTCCGATCCGAACAATATGTTCGAATATTATAGCGTTACCGTGAACTTTAATCTATGCAAAATTTCATGAAGATATCTTGTTAAATAAAAGAAGTTTTATATATAGCTTGTATGTGTATCTGCCCTTAAATTGTAATTATCTTGCAACGCTTATTATAACTGTGTCCAAGTTAAAAAAAAAAATCCAAACAAAATTTGACCACGATTAATGCGCTCTTAGTTTATTTGCTCTTAACGGTTTTATTAATATAACATTACCATAAACTCGATTTATTTTCCATAAATATAAGCGAAATAGTCAAAGTAAGTGGTTTTCACTGCCTCAATTACCATAACAAGATCACGCTTACCGAGACCACCGCTTGTGACATAAGCGCGTCCCTCGGTATTGCTTTGATATGTGGTGATTTTTACATGTGTAATGATGGCGCCAGTACCGCTGCTGGGATATTTCACGGTTACCGACAACGAAGTGGGTAAATCGTAATCATTTACTGCCGATTCGCTCCCTACAAGTCTGTCACCTAACGGCGCGAAAAATGAACAATATAAACGAGATTATGAACACAATTTCAAGTCTTACACACCATCCTCTCTACCGACACCCAAAGTATAAGTGATAATACTTCTGCCTCGTGGGTGCATCGCACGACCATTAATCATTTCTTGTTCTGATGATATGGTCGCTTTCATTTCCACAGCATTGGGATTTCGCTCCAAAATCCTATCCATCTCCTCAGGTGTAATCACCTGCATGATAACATTCTTTCCATCTTCTAATTGCTCTTGATGTATAACCGCTGCATTGGTAAGCAAGAGGCTGGACACTATAGCCAATAGGCCGATTAAGGCGACGCGCTCGCTCATATTAATACCAAAAGTACTTTCACAATTTTTAAGTTAATTTGCAATCACAATTAAATTAAGCGTCCTATTCGGTAAGCTTATATAGTCAGCGCAACGGATACGTACCGCTCCGAAAGTCTTTGTCTATGGAAGTTATCTTTCATGTTTCTTATCACATGACTACGCTTACATTTGATTTACCCACTGACATATGAAAATATGCAATACATCTTCGTTCTTGCAATGTACATATAATGTTGAAAGTTTAATTAAATTTTTAAATTGTGAGTATTATATCATTGATTCCTTTATATTGATATCTTTCTTATTGCGCCGGTGATAATACGCTTTCGTCATTTAACTCAAACTGTAGCAATAAATGTTTTAAATATTTTCGCTACATACATATGTACATACAGATATGCGTGATCCAACTATTTCTGAAATTGTAGTCAAAAGTATTTGGTCTTACGAAATTTAATGGGTGTCTTAATGTGCTTCTGCCAATCTGTATTTAACTATTGGACGACTTCCGATCAAATGATATTGACAATTCCTTAGACAGTCCGTCTTACTTAATCTGAGCTGACTCGAATTTTTATTCGACTACGGATTGTCAACTCGGTAGCATTCTTCAAAATTATTTCAGGAATATTTTCCACAACGACCACAATTTTCCCAATGATTAATCAAACTTCCGAAGCATGGTCCTCACAGCCATTAGCATTCCCAATATCCAAGACTACTTAACTACTGCCTTCGGAAGTTTTTGATGGAGTTGGTTTACCGGCTTCTTTGCTACTTCCGCTTCTTTGATGAACACGGAAAATATTTCCACGCAGTGAAAACTATTGTAGTTAAAACCAAAATTTTCCTGGAGTCCATATGGTGGCTGGGCCTTTATTAGGTGTTTCGCTTGTGTGTCTGCTTTATTATATAATACGTGAAATTAAAATTTTTAAAGTTGCGCGGATATACAGTTATGCAATTATTTTATGAACTGTCATTTCCTTTGATTGATGCAAGTCTTCCAGTTTAATTGAAAGTTTGATCCTCTCTACTGTGACAGCAATTAAAAGAAGTAAGCGATATAATATATATATAAACAGAAAACATAACATAAACAACAACATACATGTATTCATATTCATATATTACATATATGATTAAATACATGTTTTTCTTTGTTATTATCAACATTCAAATTCAAAATTATTTACATTCTAAACCGCCGTAATTCCAGCACACCCTGTGGTTCGTGTCTTTGACGATTATTTTTCGATAAAATTTCCAAGCAAAGCAATTATTTTATTAACATTCTTTCTAATTACCACTAAAATACAAAAAAAAAAGTGTTCTCCAAAAAATTATATAAGAAATATATATATATACTTTCCAATAAAAATTAAAATATTTACAAAGTAAAATCGTTTTTAAAATCGATAAGGATTCTTATCGCTATAATGTATCGAGTATAAGAATTCAAATTTATTTCCAAGAATTCATGAATTGGCATCGTAGTGTTCGCTCTAAAAATGGCTTCCACTAAAACATATGGTAGCACATTACCATACTTTTTTAATATAAATGACCTCAGCAAGCATTCATAAATAATGACAGTAATTTAAAGTAGTTTTTAAAAAAAATTTTGTTATAATTTATGCTTTAAAAGTGGTTAATGGCCAATTTTGTGAAAATTTAGATATTTTTTTACACATTGAATACCATCACATGTGGCAACCACAGTCGATATTTCGCATTTGTTGTTTTCGTGGCCTTATCTTGAATTGTCCTTTACATTGGTGTATTTTTCTGCGAAATAAATTGGAGCTATTATATTAGTAACTGTAAATTTCATAAAAAATAAGTATTTAAACGGATGAGTGATGAGCGTAGAATGCAGGATGTTCGATTGGGAGGTAATTAAAATATTTCATTTGTTTCGTTTTGTGTACATGTGCTGTATTCTAATTGTAACCTCATGCTTACCCGTCTCTTCTACAATTGTACGCCGTTCAGGTTCGGTCAACAACGTGCGGACACAGCCCCAACATAATCATTTGCCATTGGGCGAAAAGATGCCCACAGCAAAGATGCCCTCACTTATTGTTTCACATATGTACGGGGAAGACATGAAAATATCGAAAATATTGCGGCGTCTGCAATCAGAAAACAATGCGACAGCTGCATTGGAACTTTGCAACAAGTTGGAAATAGGTGTGCGGGCGCAACCAAATGCGACATACATATGCCGTAGCTTCGATTTACTAATGGAAAATATGATTACCGTGCTGAAACAATGTCCGGAAGAGTGTTTGGAAAAAGTAAGCACAATAATGGGACTGATGGGCTATATTAATCGCAATGATTTCCCAGTCTACAAAAATTATGTGATTAAAGCGTACCAATCGTGTAAATCGATACGAAAATATGTGATGCTTGCCTTGAAAACCACATTCAGGTAAATTTCTTTGAAATATTCCATTACTTTAGTTGTGATGCATTATTTTGTGCCACAGTTGCGATGCAGTTAATTTGGATTTAAGTGTGTACAGCGAACGCTTATTGGCAGTGCTAAAAGACTACTTGGAAAATGCTGAAATAGCCGAAATCTTTATAGCCGTCAGTGAGACAATTACAGAATTTTCAAAACATTACAAGCGCGCTTTCGAAGTACATTTCATGGATATTGTCGACATTATTGTCGGTTGGCATTTAGAGGTCGAACAGCCGGCAAACCTTAAATTACACTGTTCCGTTGCATTGCAACAATTTGCGCCATATTTTCTGAAAGAATTGGATTTTACATTTCGGTTATTGGGACAATTTTTAGAGGACATCGTGGCATTGGGTGATGAAATTTCGCATGCCCCATCACCAACAGACTCGCTAAGTGGCGAGGTAGACGCAAAAAATCAACAAAACAAAGTAGAACTTCGTATCGGTTGCTTTATTGGTGCATTCAACTCAATTTTGAAAACCTTAGCGAATCGCGTCGAATTTGTTGGCATGATTGTGGGACATAGTATTGTGAATGAAGCGGCAATGACAATATCCAAAACAGCTGAACAAACGCTAACAATGACATTAGCAAGTGAAGATACCATAATGAATATTAATGACTTTTTCTGTCTACTCTACACGAACAGTTACGATATTATTAATATGGTGAATATAGAAGAGTTAATAGCGCTACAAATGAAACAACTGAATTTCTTTAGTGATGCACCTAAGCAAAGTTTACTTTACCTGATACTTTGCGTGTTTCGGCAGCTGCGCACACAACTGCCACTATCTACCGTCACTTTGGTGTTTGAAACCACACACAATCCGCTGGCCACCATCAAGTTCACCAGTAACGACAAGCTGCGACGCCTCTTTCTGAAGGTGTACCACGAAATTTTAATGATAAAAAATGTGCCATTACTACAGGAGACCTATCGCCATGTGACCGCCGATATGTATAACGCAATAGAGACGCTGGAAGCATATGACGACGATACCGCTGCTGGTCAAATCAGTAAGGTGTTGCGCGCTGAGGCAACACTTAATTTTTATCTGACCGCTTTGTCGGCCTTGGCCACACAAACATCGTCCATCATCAGCATGTACGCGTTATATCCTTCGATTTTGGAGCTATTAATTACGAATTGCAAGGCGGGTGCTACACACTTGTGGCTACGCCATCCGACATTGCATAACGCGTTGCTCAGTGTGCTTGTCGTGCACTGCCAGAAGAATCACAATTTTCGGCCGACATCGCGTTTACTTAGGGAACCACTTTTTGCGCCGAAACACGCATTGGACGAAAACAACTCACCCACATCGGAGAATTTCAGTTTGATTTTACAATTTCTCGCTGGCATTTTGAGCGCTGCGAATGATTTAAACGTGACTAATCTGAATTTGTTGCTCGACTGGTTGAGCTGCATACTCACCGAGTGCCGTGAAAATGCCGCTGTGCTACAACAACACGCCAACTTCATCATCATTTGCAAGTCCATAAGTCAAGCCGTGTTCGCGTCCTCAATCAAATGCGCCAAATGCATGGAAATCGTGCTCAACTATGCCACCGTCAATGGCGAAGTCTTGGCATATTTCCGCCAAGCGGCAGTAATTATGCTGGACGCCAATGATGCCCGCGTACGTAGCGCTTACACAAGCATACTTGGTAAGTTACCCCTAACCATCTGTCTAACGTCTGATGTCATAAGCAGTGACATTGGCGTGCGCAAATCGGAACTCAACGATCTAATGCAGTGGTATCGCTCCACCGCATACAATGCGCCGTTGCGAAACAAGTACTTCAAACCGTTTCTCGAGCGCTTGGAAAGCGACACCACCTGTGGTGATTACGAACCGCTCTGTCAATATGCCGCTGAGGTTTTCGCCAAGTGTTGGGTGGCGCGTTCACGTGAGAACTGCGCGTCCTACGAGTCCGCAGCCAGACGTAGTTGCAGCGCCTTAGCGCTTTGGTTAGAGTACGAAGCGGCGCGCCAATGTGTACGCAATAAGTTACGCACTACGATTGGTAAACCGCAAGAGACATTCCTCGCCATAGAGGCCGTCATCTCAAAGTATGCGCGTATATTGTCGACAAAGAGCGGTTTGGCAAATGTGTGCACGGCGCGCAAAGTGACGCTGCCGCATTTGATGTCACTACAACGTAATACACGCCTGTTGCTCGGATTTATCGATAGTTTGGAGAAGCATATCTATAATGCGGCTGAAGGTACCGCCTTCGCCATACCGGCGCTTGAGAAGCCCATTAAAACATTTTTCCGCATCAACGCGCACACTTGCAATGAGTGGCTGAATCGCATACGACCGAGCGTTAATCTGATTGCAATGCACAGCATGATGCCCGAACTGGTCATACGCAATGCCGAGGTAAGTGGAATGCGAAAACTTTTACAATGATTTTTCTGACAAGCTATACTTCCTTGTAGGTCATACTGCGCATGGATAAACTGAGCGACGTGCAGTTGGATCATACTGTAATCATGCTAGTATGGGCCTTACTCTGCGCCGACGAGTCTTCCACGCTGCAAGGTCTCTACATATGGTTGAAAACGAAGCATCCAAGAGCCGCTAAGCGCTGCGTTTGGATTTTGTATGCTGCCGAGCAAGCTGCCGGGCATAAAGAACAAGCCGCTGATAGCTATGAAGCGTTTCTCGTCGAGCAGGAGTTGAATTTGGATGCGCGCAGCAAGGATTTTGTTGTTGACCAGTTGATTTACTGCTTGTACTACACCAGTCAGTGGGCGCGTTGTCGTCGCATACATGCGCGTTATAAAAACGGCGAAAAGCCAGACGACATACACTACGAATTAGCCGAGGCGCTCGTGGATGATTACGAGAGTGAGGCCAGTCGTAGTGTCGCGCTGCAAAACGCTATTATGGATTTGACAAGTTGGTCGCCTAACACCAGTGCGGACGGTGAAACATCCGCGCCGGCGCCAGAAACATTTTCCTACTACCACATTACGCAGCAACTACAAGACGCTTGCGTTGCACATGCGTTTAAATGGGACGCGATGTCGACGCCGCCGCTTAGCGAAGACGTGCAGGCGTGTATATGCAGCGGTGTGCAAGAGTTGCCCTATCACAATCGCATGCGCGTGGGTGAGCATCGCAACGCGCTCACCGATATGCTCATACTCAATCATGTGGCGCAAAAGTTGACTTGCGCGCAGAGCATGTATACCGAACGCATGCATGATATGCGCAATACGAACGATACAGAGAAATCAACATTTCTACTGAAATCCTTAATGTGGACGCTCTTGTTCGAGCAGCGCTTGGGCGCGTCGGCGGATGCTGCGCGTCATTATGCGCTGTACTTGGACGTAGCGAATAGCGCGCGTCGCGAAGGCAACGGCACCTTTTGTCGCGCTATGTTGCAGCGTTTTTTCCGTCTGAAAGGCTTTGATGAATCGCTCTCGGAGGTGGCACGCATGTTGCGCGAGAATGAGTACACTGTGAGCGTACATGATGCGGATTTGGTGCGCGGCTTTAGCGAATTAGCGAAGTGTTCCTACGTCAATTCGGCCAATCAAATGAATGCCATCAGCCTGGGCGCTGCCTACTGTACACAAATCATACAACAAGTACAAGACCAACCGCATGCCACATATCCGCCGAGCAGCGCTGACATGCTACTCACATTAGCCGATTGGTTGTCACCGCGCGTCACGGGCGCTACAACCGGTCACAACGCGAGCGGCCCACCAGTGCCCAATAACAATGTGAACGCCGCCTTGGCTTTGACGGAAATGCAAGAATTGCTGCAACATTTGCCCGACGTGACGGTGCATTTGGTGAAAGAGAGCGCCGACGATGCGGTTAGTACGCTCATACCACCGGCGGAGAAAGCCATCGGGAAGCTCATCAACGCCAGCATCTGTCAGTCGAGCAATTCGAGTGATGCCTGGTTCGCCTACGGCAATTGGTGCTATCGCTGGGGCAAACGTCTGATGGAAGCTAAGAATACGACGGAAATGAAAAGCGGTCTGCCGCAACGCGATATGCAAGCGATACGCGAAGTGCTGGGCGGCAGCGTCAGCGATGAGGCCATCAACCGGGTGGTGAGCGTGCTAAATGGTCAGCAGTTGAGCAATATCGATGCAGAGGAAGATATCGAAAAAAGTGAACTCAGTTCCAGCGAACTAATCGAGCAGGCGTTGCGCCGCGTCGACATCTTAGCCGATAAGCCGTCGGAGCAAATAGCAAGCATCATAAAGATATGGCGGCAGGCACATCGCAGCGTTTATGTGTACTATGAAATGGCAACGAAAGCTTATTTCAATTATCTATCCATCGGCGCGTCGCAATTGGAGGCGAAGAACACGCTGAGCGATTGTACGCCCGTCACCGTTACGTTGCGCTTGCTGCGCTTGATTGTCAAATATGCCGCGGGTCTGCAGGATGTGCTGGAGGAGGGTTTGCGCACCACACCGCTGCGTCCCTGGAAGGTCATCATACCGCAGCTCTTCAGTCGACTCAATCATCATGAGCCATATGTGCGTAAGAGCGTCGCGGATCTACTCTGCCGCTTGGCGGAGGATCGTCCGCATTTGATTATATTCCCTGCCGTGGTGGGCGCACATCAGGAATCAAAAGAGTCTACGCTACCGTTCCTTGGCAATACATTAAAGGACGCCAATGCTGGCAACAACAAAGAGCAAAAGTCTAGCACGCAGCTGTCGAATTGTTTCCGTTCGTTGCTGCAAACGCTGTCACAGCAAGCGCCAGACACTGTTGCGCATGTGCAGCTGCTGGTGAAGGAATTGAAGCGCGTCACATTATTATGGGAGGAATACTGGGTGCATTCACTCTCACAATTGTACAGTGAATATGCGGCACTGTTCAATGCGCTGGAAGCGGAATTAAAGAAGGCCGGCGGTACAGCGTCAGAGAAAATAATCGCAAAGTACGCGACTTTGATGAATCACGTGGTCTTTGATATGCAGCGCATTGCCGCGGTTACCTCAAAATCAGCTGACACCAATTACGAACGTAACTTCCAAGAGCGCTACAGCGCGCTGATCGCCAGCACAATAAATGAGCTGAATCAGCCCTTTAATCCGACCAAACCGTTCGACGGCTGGATGCGCATCAAGCAGTTGTATGGTGTTTTCCAGCAGCGCTCGCTGCGCGGCTACGCGTCCACACTTAAGATCGCCGATCTCAGTCCGGTGTTGGAGAATATGCGCAATACGGCCATATCCATGCCGGGCGTCGACACCTACGCCAAGGAACCGGTCTACATAAAGTCGGTAGACAGCGCGGTACATATTTTACCAACCAAAACGAAACCGAAAAAGTTGGCTTTTTACGGCAGCGACGGACGCAAGTACACCTATCTGTTTAAGGGCTTGGAAGATCTGCATTTGGACGAGCGTATAATGCAGTTCCTTTCGATCTCGAATTCTATGATGGCGCGCGCCAATATGGGCGTGGACTCGTTGCAGCGCGCACGTGCCTTCAAAGCACACCACTACTCTGTCATACCGCTGGGCTCACAATCCGGTCTAATCAGTTGGGTTGATGGTGTGACGCCGCTCTTTGCCATCTATAAGAAGTGGCAACAGCGTGATGCTGCCTTAAAACAACAACAAAAGGAACGTCAAAATACACAGCAAGCTGGCGTGCAATCAACAGAAGTCGCACCAGCTGCCACGCGTCCATCCGAGCTGTTCTACAGCAAATTGACGCCGTTGTTGGCGGAGCAAGGCATGAAAATCACCGATCCACGTAAACAGTGGCCACTTGCCATATTGCGTCGCGTGCTGGAGGAGTTAATCAAGGAGACGCCGCGTGATTTACTCGCCAAAGAGTTGTGGTGCTTCGCGAATACGGCGGCCGATTGGCGCGCCTCGGTGCGCAATTATTCGCTCTCCATGTCGGTAATGTCCGTTATTGGCTATGTGATCGGCCTGGGCGATCGCCACTTGGACAATGTACTGATCAACTTGACTTCGGGCGAAATCGTGCATATCGATTATAATGTGTGCTTCGAGAAGGGTAAAACACTGCGTGTGCCCGAGAAGGTGCCATTCCGCATGACACCCAATTTAGAGGAAGCCTTGGGTATAACCGGTATTGAGGTAAGTTTGAAATATTGATTGTAAATATATTTTTAAACCAAGTTTTTTTTTTTATATATAAAATATTATAATTCTCAACTGATTCATGAAGATTTTAATATGATTTAGTCGATAAATTGAAATCATATGTTTTTACAAAACCAAAGTTCTTGAAACGTAAGTCTAGACAGGGTCTCCTGTTTAGACACAAATATTTACATATCACCTTATTTCTTCGAAACTCAGCCACTCTTAGTACTTTTCCTGAAAAAATCTTTAAATTACCCGAAACAGTTTCCATCTCCACCGCACAACGATTATTTCAACGTTTTCGTTCTGGCGTAGAGGTGGTCGAAGATGCGCCACGCTCCTGAAGGCCTGTCGTCGAAAATTGCGATAAAATCGCTGAATTGGTCGAAAAAGACCGGCATAGTAGGAGCCGTAGCATCGGCCAAGAGCTGGGCGTGAGTCATCAAAAAAAATTTTATGAACAATTAAAAATTCAATAAAAAATACCGCAAGACTTTTTTGACAACCTATTATTATTGAGAGTTACTAGAAAAACATGCATTCGGCAAGTTTAGCCATCTTAATAGCAGCCGCTTTTGCCTGAAATACACTGAAATGGCTTTTAACCAAAAGCTAAGCTTTTGAGGAGGGTCACCTTATAGAAAAGTTCCACCTTCCTTTCTTGCTTTGTTCCATCCATAAAAAAGCTCACTGCGCCATTTCTTCAGCGACTCCTACTCACATCCTGCGCCGGTATGTGTTCAGAAAAAAAAAAACTGTCCCGAGTAGCCTCTGGACGCAGTGATCCCAGTATTTAATCCCTCAGACAATATTCTCGCAGTAAAATTTGCCTCGATACCAATAATTTACGGACTTTTACAACAATTGAGCATGATTGCCTCTAAACAATCTGGGCCTTGTTTGTCTTATAAATCCTCACAGGAATTTTCAAATCGTGTAAATCACGTATAAGCTTGAGTTCGACTCATACAATCAGTTTTTGAGTATTTAGCAATTTCCAAAATTCTCAACCGGACTTTCTGAAATCAGTTGTTTGCTTTTTTTTATATCCTGAACGAGTATATTAAGTTTGCCACGAAGTTTGTAATATCCAGAAGAAGGCTTCTGAACGATCAAAATCAAGTCCTTATACAGAAGACTTTTGTACTTGCCACGACTTTTTTTTCCGAAATGCGTCAGAGATTATTGCTCGAAACAACGGTATGATCCCCGAACAGATCGTTCAGATCGGACCGCGGTGGAATATAGCGGCTACATATATAAATGTGGAAAACTTCGAAATAATTTTTGCGGTTAGTATAAAGCTGCCATACAAACTGACCGATCAAAGTCAAGTTGTTTCTTGTCAACGTTTCTTGATTTTTAATATATTTAATAAGTTGAATAGTGTGATTTTTTTTTTAAATTTATTTATTATAATGATTTTTGCTTTAGTACAATTGTTTATTCAAAGCTCTGAGGATAGAATATAATTTTCCACTTAATTAATGAAAATAATCACTTCTCTTCTGTATTAGATAATTCTTTTCGATTTTTTATAGTTGTTGGTAATTTTTCTTTTTTCCATTTTTTTTTTTTTTTTTGTTATTATTAAATAATACTCCTACCCTATATTGGCGCTTCGCCTCAGTCAAGTCTGCACTCCTTCACTTTCACTCTTCCTTCCTTCAATTCTTCATTGTTCAGCCCACTAAATCCAATTGCGTCGTTATGTTTGACTGGCTCAGCCGCGGGTATTGGTATAACGGATATTGTTAGTGTACTATGCCGTCGCGGAGAGCTGTGTACTGAGTCCGCGCTACACACGATCAAATCCATATTATGCGGCTTGCTGCGATTCGGATTTTTACAACGCAACAAACGCCAATAGGCGCGTCGAAATTTTGTATTCTTCCAGCAATAGATCACCGGATTCAGTGCTGAATTGAACATGGCCAACGAGAAGGCCATTTTGTAGAGGATCAAGGATATATTGTAGGTACTGAATAGCTCCATGCAAACGACAATGAAATATGTCAGCCAGCAAATGGAGAAGCAGCCCATAATGAAAATCACAACCTGTGAATAAATAGTGAATTTAATAGTTTATTAGTAATATGCATAAATGCTGTGCGCAAAAAATAGTAAGACTTTCTAATTTAAATTTATCGTGAAAACCCATTCAGCGAAATTTTTTATGCGCAATCAAATTTTTGGTGCCGAATCGATCAGATGTTGCAAAAGGTCTTCGGTGATAATCGGCCATCGAATTTAACTGATAATCAACACGTCAATAAAATAACGCAATTGGTGCTTGACAATCGATGAATAACAGCCAGAGATATTACTGGCATCGTTGGAATATCGGAAAGATCAGTGAAAACCATTTTGAAAGATCGCTTGGGCCTAAGAAAAATTAAAGCACGATTGGTTCCAAAGTCCTTCAATTTCTTTTTTTGAAAAAACAGCGTTGCGTTAATGTCTGTGAAACTATGCTTTTCGACTACCAGGATGTCATGAAACGCATTGTTACTGGCGATGAGTCTTGGATCTATGCTTACGACTCGGAAAAACAGACAATAAATCGGCCGAATATTGTGCCAAAGGTGAGCCCAAGCCTAAAACATGTCAAAGCAGGTCAAAAGTCACTCCTGAGTTCCTTTCGACCAATCAAACTGTCAACAAGGATATAAATGTATCTGCGAAGCTGTTCATAAAAAGCGGCCGGAATTATGGGTCGACAACTCTTGGTTATTGCACCATGATAATGCAACGTCGCATACTGCAATGATTCTTCGAGAGTTTTTCAAGCAATATTGTGCCGCTACCACCGTATTCGCCTGATTTGGCTCCGTTTGATTGGAAAAACCGTTTTGCGTCAATTGAAGACATTTAACTTGAACCGTTACGCGCATTCATTCCGATAATTGACTTTAATAACTGTTTCGAGGATTGTAAAAAACGATGGCCCACGCGGATTACTTTGAGGGGGACGGCATTTGAAGTTGAAATTAAGACTTTATGAATAAAGTCTTATTAGTTTTTGCCCATAAATATGCGACGGCAAAGGGGTGAGACCTTCGACAACCGCTTAATGCCAACTTGTCTAAATGAGTGCTTGTATAAGTCATTATAATGATGGTTTGTGTGTGGCTTAACTTTTTATGACAGTTTCATGTTTATGTACATATTTATTGGACAGCGATTTGTTTTATGCTGCATGATGTTGTTGACATCGTCGACCGAAGTATTTTACTTATTATTTATAGATGCCATTGATAAAAAAGCGCCATTTCACTTTGTTTTATGAGTGCGATAAGCGCATGTTGCCTATTTACCGGCGCACAAGCAATGTTAATTTAATGTTGTAAACCTATTGACACGTAAATAGGTTCACCCTTATATCTGCATGGCAGCCAGTGATTTTTTTTATATAATTTACACCCATTATTTTGTTTGTTTTGGCATTACATTCGTAAATAATGTTGAAAGTATGGATATATTTAGCTATTCATGTGCTATATCAGTTCAAAAATTTTTCGTGTGGTTTTCCAAATATCAGAATTTAGTTGAAAAACACTTTATTTTTTAAAGTAGTAAAGTTTAGATTATATGTCTCCAAAGTCATGTTTCTTTATAATGGGTTCAAAAGAGGAGTTCTTTGCATTAGGTTAGCTATTTTCAAGGCGCACAATATCATATTCTGACCGACCCTTGTTCAAAGTTCAGTCTCAGTATTTTAAAAAATGCTATGTTTATGCTTGTCGCAAAAAAGGCCATGCGTTTTCTACTCGGATTTCTTGATTTGTGGATTTTAACGCTTTTACCAAGCGCTGTGGAATTATGCCTTGGTACTTCTGCTAACTTGACATAAGCTATGGATCTCTTTCAGCTTAACAAAGTAGTTTAAACATGGAGGACATTCCATTTTTCTTCTCCAATAGACGTTTTTTGTAATCTCCGTAATCCGAGAGATACGGTTTAGGAGTGCGGTTGGGGCTATATGATGTTGTAAATCTAAGGTTTTGTCCTGAAAAAGTTCTAGACTGTAATGTTTGAGCGCGTCAAAGATGGACGCTAGCCAAGAGAAAATTCGCCATATTCTACAGTATTCGATAAAAGAGAAAACGCAAGCCAGAGACTGTGGTCGATTCCATTCCTCTAATATTGATGCCAAGGATGTATAATCGAACCGTTTTTGCAGTGGATAAAGCTGTTGATGAAAAGAGGGTCCACTTACGACGAAATCAAGTAAAAACTAACCGGGT